GGCCTATGTACTCAAGTAGGATAAATCTATGTTATTAGTCATTTAATACATATAGTTTAGGATGTCTCCAAAAGTATGAGATAAAAGCTTCCAAAAATAAAAAGAGAACACATTTTTCTTTCCTTCCATTTCCTTTCTCTGCTATGCAGTTGTAAAAGCCTTAGGTTTTAGCATTGCTTACTGCACTTTAGGGAGCAGTGAATGTGGATATTGAAATGGAAGAGAAATATGATAGTGTTATTGCGTAGTATCTTCAGAATTTTAAAGAAAGGAAGATTTGCCTGAGTTTCTAGAGACCTAGTGTCATTCAGAATCAACAGAAGCAAACTTCAAAGAACTAAATTTGCATAATAGCAAAACTTCATATTTTAAAATATTAGAACTTTTGCAGTGCCTGCACAACACAGTACATGATTTCCTAATCTTATGAAGAATGTTGGTGTTAAACTGATGGAGATCTCTAATTTGACCTGTCAGAATACAACATTTGAGTCTCAAGATTTGCTGTCTCAGCACATGAGAGAAAACATACCAGCAGCAAAGAAAATGAGATTATAAACAGGTGTTGGGAATGTGTTTATTTTTGACTAGATGAGTGGTGCTATGTAAAAAAAAAACACCAAACACTGGATATATTGAATAACATTATTATTCAATATAATATAAGTGGATAGAAGACCAATGCTTAATTTATGCTTTCAGGACTGCGTTCACAAACTAGAATTGGCTGGACAAATTCAATCTTGCTGGAAAAAACAGCTGTTAGCTTCCCACTTTTGGGAGGTTTGGCAGGCTTGAAGGCGCTGCTTTTTTGTAGCAGCACCAGTTCTCTAGAATGACTTTCCACTAAAGCTTAGATTAATCTAAAACTAATCTTGGAATAATCTGACATTAGCTACCTTGCAGAAACAGCTGAAAACAGAGCTCTTCCATCCAGAGGACATTTGGGACCTCACACCTGTTTTTTGGAGGGAAGGGAGTTTGATTCTTTTATATTTTTAAACTTTCTTTTTTAAAATGGAACATGGACATTGTAGTTGTTTGTATATTCCTGTAAAGCACTGAAAGTCCTGTTGGAATATGGTGGTAGAAATATAATAAATAAATAAATACAAGTTTTCAGTTTGGTTCTAAATTGCCCTCCCTTGGATGACTTATTAATATATTCTTCTAAAATGCCAGAACAAATAAGTCTTCATATAGCACTTGAATGATTTTAATATTTGTATGACTTGGATCTCTTGGAGGAGAATATTTCAGAACTGGGGTGTTACCATTAGTAGGTATTATTATTAGATAGTGCAAGGTCAATAAATGACATCTTCGGAGCAATCTCTTTAAAGTTTATGAAGCTTCTTTTAGTGCTAGTTAGGTGGAAATATTCATCACAGCAGGCTACACTTATTATAAGCCTTATTTGGAAGTTTTATAAATGAATAAAACTAAAAAATAGAATGCATTTTAAAAAATTAAAGTTAGCTATTGTAATTTCATATAGAAAGCTGCATAGAAAGCTGAATGTTGGTATCTCTGTGATCATCAGGAACTGAGCTCCACAATAATTTTTACCTTTTAGAGCATTATAATAAAATAGTATTGGTCTTCTATACAATATTTATTACTGCCCAAGGGCAGTTTTTCTTGGCCAGGAAAGCTATTATTGTCTTAATTTAAGCATTTCATAAGATTCTTCATGCAATCCAGAACTTGCATGTGCATATTTTTAAACAATTGCAAAGTCGCTTTTAAATGAACTGATTGCATGGCTTTTTTAGGAACTCTAAATTATTTCTGGTTCACATCAGCAATTTAAAAATCCAAAATGTATATATAATTAAATTTATTTAAGATTGTAATTTGTTCACTTGGAAAATCTTTACAATCAGTTTAATGTCCCCATTTGTAACAAACAATTCCACTGCTATGGTCCAGTTGCTATTTCTTCTAAAGAAAATGATAGATTCTGATTTTTATTAATTGGCCTTATCTAGTCAACTTTCGGAGATATAAAATAAAATTGATCAGCAACTGCTTTTGAAACAGATCATTAAAAAAATTAAATCTAGCCCAGTAGGGAGGTGGGATACTTTCACAAGTCCTTTTTAAATCAGATAAAGAAAGCAGTTCTGTGTACTGTCCAACTATTTTGAAGAACGATCGGAAAATCCCAAGACAGCTATTCAGAAACTAGTTGCTGCTCTGTGAGACCCAGTGGCTACATAAGGATTACACAAATAGAGAGATTACTCAACTGTGCCTCTGATTAGCTATAAATGGCTGCCATTTAACTCTTGTATTATTTGTTCTGTTTGTTGTTTATTCTTTGCAAACATCTGTTGTGGGATCTCACTTTGTTTCACTCCCCAGTCTATTCCATTAACTCTTAGGATTGTCCAGTGGACATTCACTCCCATTCCCCTCACTACTTCATGAAACTGGTGACTATGGTGGCACATGGCTTTCTGAATTATTAAATTATTGTTGTGCTGTACATTCCTTGTACATCCTAATACTTAACCCATATGCAATCTGAACCAAGTAAGTTGCTGAACTTTGGAGCAATATCCAGGTTTCTTTTCTGAGTGCTTATAATTAATTTAGACTCAGTGTCATGCATAAGGGTGTTGCATGTTTTTGAATAGTGGCTCTTATTTTCCATTAGCTCTTAATCCTCACAGCTGTAGCTACAGTTTCCTGCCATTTCTCTGATTCCCCCTTGCCAAGGCTTTATGTCCTTTCTCCACAGGTTATGCCACGCCTCAGACTTATTGGATGCCTGTTAATGAAAGAGAAGGGTTGATACTTGCCCAAACATTGTATGACGGCCCATAGATTGTAAACCAAGATGGCAGCTGGGGATACTGCTCCTTTGGGAGGCATCTTCACTAATGTACAGCAGGTAATTTTTTTTAAAAAATGCTGTAATGATTGTTTTTCAAGCAGTGCAAAAATGGAAAAATATGAAAACTGGAAATCAGGAAAAATTGTTGAAATACAAGCATTTTAGCTGGAAATCATTCATATTCTTCCCAGTCCAAGTACTATGTTAGACTAATAGTTCATTGCTCCTATAATTAAAAAAAATACCACTCAATGTTTTTTCTGTCTTATGGAGCTTTAAAAATTTGGAAGTCTTGGGAAAATATTGTGGCACTTTAAAGCCTAACCAGATTTCTTGAGCAATTAGCTTAGTACCAGAGTTTTTTGAGTCTTTAAAGTGCCATAAGACTTTAAATTGATTTTTCTTGCAACAGATTAACAATTTACTCTTTGGAAGGTAGTACCAACATTTTGCCTTTTTCATATTCAGAAGAGAGATATTGACAATAAACAGGAAAAGGCTTTATCATCTTCGTATCCTGCAATTATCTGCATTCCCCAAAAGTCTTCCGTAGAGAGTGGAGGATTCTCTTAAACAGTGTGCTGAGGAAGTTTTGGGGAGAGAAATGTGCGGTATAATATTTACGGTGCAATTAAGGTAGTGGAAATCTACGTTCACAATAAAAAAAAGTTCACTAGATAACTTTGAGCCACTTGCTGTCTCTCAGCCCAATTGACATGGCAGGGTTACGGAAAGGATAAAACTGGGGATAGAGTGATATGTGTACTGCTTTGAATATGGTAAGGAATTATGGAATATAAATCTAATAAATAGTAGTCTACTAGAGTGGACCTCAGTCTGGTTTTTGGTTATTTTTCTCATTCTACATTGTTTAGGAGATACACTTGACCCTCAGAGAGACTTTCAGACACTCTAGATAGCTGCAGGAAAGAGGAGGACACTTCTTTTTTCTAAATTTACATTGGTGTCCTTTCTTTGTGGCATTTCAAAGACTAGAAAGATTAACTTTCTGTGAACAGATAATTTCATATAATTAACTGCATTGTATAAAATTCTACACTGTTTGTCTCATTACTATTATTTTATAATAAAATAGTGGTATTACATACAAAACAGTTGGGAAAAAGTGGTTATCACGCTATATAATGTTGATCTGTTACTAATAGGGCAACTATTAATCTACAGTTTAATTCAAGTCAGTAACAGCTAACTTCTTGGAAGGGTAGGTCAATCTGCAACTATGTTACCCTCTTGCTATGCTTACAAAATTGCCCCCAAGTGAACAGATAATGGAATGTATTTTGTGATATATAGTTAAAAAATGGATCTTACATATTTTGACGTAGAACTTTTGAATTTGAAAAACATATTCTGTAAGAAATAGCTGACCGTTGTTTCACTTTTAGTTCCCAAATGAAATCCTCTAAACGAAACATTAAGATATAATTTATGACATTTGGAATCTCTAGCTCTATGGGCTTTTTGTAATTTTCCATAAAAAAGAAATTTGATGCTGTATCAGCCCTGCACCGTACACCAAAAGCAAATTGACTATTTACTGATAGGCTGCTTCAAAAGCCATCAGATATACTATTACAGAGCAGTGTTGAATGTCTAAAATAATGGGTCGAAGGGTTGAAATCTGTATGTCCTTACCTACAATCATGTTATTTCTAAGATAGGGTATAACTACTCAGTTTGCTCTAAAATATCCTTTACATCCATCATAATTTATACATAATAGGAATTAGTTTTGTCACTAAAAATGTATTCCAGGCTGAACCCGGAATTTAATTTCAATTAACAGAGAATTCCTGGAATTGTAAACACAAACAAATCTATAACAGCATCTAATAAGCTTTCACAAACTCCAGTTCCTTAGATGTCACCAAAAATTATGCCGTAATAAAAGTGTTACTCTTTGAAATGGCACAGAACTCTGTGTTTACTTTTATGGCAAGAAATGAAACCGGCTTCATCCATGGAAATTATCTCTAATTAAAACTTGCTGTAATTGCCTTTCTTTTGTGGCAATGATGCAGAAGCTCACCTGTCCAGGCAACAGAAAATCAGAGTCCTATGAAGGTCTTTCTCTAAAGCTAAATGTTTCTAGCTAGGACCTGTTTTGCTTTCTCTGATTCAGCAAAGATCTGCCATTGCTGGGCCTACTGTGTTTCCATAGTAACCAAGGAGTCCACAACAGCTTGGCACCAGCATTTCAGGCTAAATTGACAGGATTTTTTTTTTTTAACCAGTGGCTGGAGCTAAAGATCTGAAAGAGCCCAAACTGAGAGAGCTCCCAGGATTAAACTTTCATGATTGTTACTTCCTGTCCTCTTCTCCGTTTATACCCTTGGGGCCGGGGGTGTGAGGAAATTATAGAAACAACCAAAAAAAAAAAAAGAGAGAGAGAGGGAGAATTTGGGCTAGAGCAGAAGATAAGTTTAAATATCTGGGCCCCATGGTAAAGACTTGGAAAGAAATTGGACAAGATGGAGAAAAAAACTTCAGGCCTTAGAAAGGCTCTGTAGGCAGCCACCGGGATGTCCCCGGTTGATGTAATGTGGAATACAGTGAACTACATTGTATATATTCCTCTTCCAGTTGTATATTCCAGGATCAATCCACATGTTCTTGACCTGTGCTATCCCTACCTGCTTCCCTGACAGAGGTGGAAGATGCCAGCGTCTCCCTCTTTCTGGAATGGGAGGGGGATGGGAAGGAACTTGACAGTTTAAATACCAGATTTACTTCTACTCATCCTGAAGAGAGTGGAGAATGAATGTGGTGTAGGAAGGTCTGGAACTGATAAACCCAGGCGCTACCTACTCACTTTTACAGTTTGGGGATATTTGGACAGACGTCTGAGCAACCAGCTGTGCTAGAGTCCTAATCTGGGGATGAAGGAAAACCAGGTTAGAACAGTCAAACGAAGGGTTCAAGTTTGAAATTGGGATTGGGATCAACAATCCTTCACCGTCCTCTCAGTTCTACCGTTTTGAGGCTGTACAGTGGGGAAATATGATTGAGGGTGCTATCTGGGAAAAGCAGGCAAAGAGAGGCGATTTGTGCTTTTGATGCCTCCCCGGAATAAAGGATTGTACGGTATTGAGACATTTCTTTGTTTTGCTGATGGTATTATTGACTGATGTGCAGGATGGCGGGGATGATGAGGCAGCCTTTCCTGGCACGGAGGATGATGATGAGTTGGACAAGACCTTGGGTGTTGAACGGTTTGGAGACCTGATCGGCAAGTCTGCATTACGAGACCAGGAAAAGCAAGGCCGCAGCTACTCTGAGACCGACTTTGAATGTAGGTAAATCTTGTAAGCTGGTCCTACCTTACAATCTGACCATAGCCTCCAGATAGGAACAGTACTTAGTAATATGAAGGCCTGTGCCCAAATGCATCTTATATGCTATAAAGCAGATTAATGATTAGGTTACCCCACTGCAGGTTCTTCTAAACAATGTATAATGGAATGTAGCATACAGTGTACCCATCCTGATTAAAACTAAAACATTTAACATTTAAACAAATATTAAACTTTAAACTTTACGTTAAACGTAAAACAGAAGAAGTGGGTGTTAAGAATCTGAGATTGTGGAACTTTGATGATGAAGTAGATGTGTATGCGTTTTAGCCCTAAAAGTTATATGGTAAATCCTAAATATTGGCAATGAAATCTGATCTCAAGAAAAGAAGGGTTTGAAAATGCAAGTTTTATTTGGCATTTAAAATACTATTATATTTTATTAGACAATAATGGTACAAAATATTTTTGTGGATTTGCTCTGCATTTTAGACCTTCCTATCTTACAATCAGCATTTTTTCTGTCTTACTGAGAGACAGACAAGCAATTATATTTATAGGAGACATGACCTTGGAACAACTAGACTGGTCATAAAAGCTGAAAAATACTGTGAGTTTGGGATTTTTTTTAACCTTATGTTTAGCTTTATCCTGATCCCGAGGTTGATTTTAAATTAGTTTAAGATAATCAATTCTGTAAAAAATGATCAATATGGAACACATTTGATTCTAGAAATGTTCATGCTAGAAAAAGGGAAGATCTGTTTTCATTTTCATCCTGTTTATCTTATTGCTACAGACATAGGCATATGCGTAGGCTGCTAATGTGCACAGAATTCCAGATCTATTGAAGGTTAGCATTTAGCTGTGTAACCTCACCAACCTGAATCTCACAGTTTGATTAGAACAAAACTTGCAACTATTTAAACTATTTACCACAATATTTTTTTTTCTTTCCTAAATCTTGCAACAAGGATATATTGGAATGAAACTAGTGATTTCTACTTTTGCTTCTATAAGCTGCATCAGAATTTCTTCTTACTACAGTGTTCCCATGGATCATTAAAATAAGGAAATAGTCCCTTTCATTTAATTTTATAGTATTAAGGCAAGCAATGACATAATGTTTAAAAAAATTGTCAAGAAAAAAAAAAGACCAGCAAAGAGGAAGTGAAAGCATCCATATGTGCAATATCTGAAAATAAAGAAAAAGATCAATAGTGAGGGAACAATCCCTAAAAGGGAAATGTAGGAATTGGGAAACCTTCCCTACATGGATAGGAAGGCAAGAAGGAGAGGAAGGACCAGTCAGGATATGCAATGGCTATCATTCAGACTGAGTGCTAACGTGGTTTCATTGCCAAGCCACTTCAATCCAAAATGGTCAACCATAGCAACAGCAGGTTAAACTGCCATGCAGGAACACATTAACTTGCCATCTGGAATTGAACATAGTTCCAAGCACAAATGAGTGCTAATAGGGAAAAATAGTTTTAAAAACATATATTCATGGGAGATGGGCATGTATTTGTCCTATCAAAATCCTCTTTACTTAATTAATCAAATCATTCTTTGTGGTGTGGCCAACTTGCTTTAATTTGGTGTTCTCCATATTGCTTATCCTGCAAAGGATTATGTTGACCGGGTTGACTGGAAAGTCTGGAAGCATCAGATAGGAAAGCAATACATAGTTCTGTACATTGTCACATTGTCACATTGTTGCACTTACTATGCTTTTATCCTCCTTCCAGTTAAATGATTTTGAATGTCAGCATCATTACACAGTAATTTTACCTATAATGCTGATTATTGCATGTCAAAATTCTATATTTCCAAATGAAAATTTTACCTGTGACTTTTATTTATTAAAAAAAATGCAGCCCTTATCCATGCTAGCATGTGACTTGCATTGTCAGGTTCTAGAGCTGATGTGATACAATCATTGCTATTAAGCTGCACATAGTGTCCTTGAAATCTGTTGAGAAGGCATTAATGATTTCTAAATGATCCTTTCTGATCCTTTCGCTAAATAAATTAGAAGAAATAGTAGTTATTGAACAGTGACAGACTTCTTTTGCATTCATTTTTGACTGACATTTTTAATCTCTTCAAGATAATTATGATATACCATATTAGGAATGGCAATAATTTTAAGACTTGAATCCCTAAGGATACTTCTTTTTTTAAAAAAAAATATTTATATTCTGCCTTTTCCCCCAGGAGCTCCACAAGGTGTGCATAATACTATTTCTTCCAAGGAGTCTCCAGAAATAATTTCAGTAGTCTGCCACTAATCAAGATGAATCTTCTGACACAGCTAAATCAGCTCAAATGGGAAATTTTTAGCTTTCTGCCAGGAGCTTTTTTTAAGTCAAACTCCAGAAATAATAGAAGAGTAGAAATACAACACTTAACCTTGGGAAGATCCTATGAACTCAAGTTATAGATATTCAGTTCTGTAGTCTTACACTCAAGGAAAGTTTTAATAAGACTTTTCATTTAGAACCATATAACCAAGTCTCGATTTTTAAAAAAAGAAATATGTTTTGGAAAGGCAAAACAGAAAAGGAAAGCACCAACCACCCATGCAGAATTTCAAATAACTGAATATTTTAACTAAAGCTTATCATCTTTCACCTGTTTGAGCAGAATCTACTTGGATATTGTTTATTCTGTCCTTATGATTTCCTTCTGTATTAGAGAACTATTTTTAGAGTTTATTCTTTTTGTTTCTTTTTTTTATTTTTGAGGTAGTAATGTTTTGATTTTTATCTCATCTTTTTGCACAGAAATCATTTCATTATTTTTTTCTATCATCATGTCATCCTTTCTTTTATCCTTCTCAAATTCCTTGACAATTCAACAACCTTATATTTTAAAATAAATACCTACAAGATACTTACAACCTCAGTAAGCAGAAAAGAGTGAAGAACAGCAAATGGTAGTCAAGACTTCTTAGTTATCATAAAATTTATCTTTATTTTTCTTTTGGAACTTAGAAATTGGGAGCACATATTTTCCATTGACTCTGGCAAGAATTAGTGGAGAACTGGTGAAAAATTGGCATATACAACTTAGCTCCTGAAGGCTGATTTAAATTAACTCTTTATATTTTACAATCTTTATAAAGCTATGGAATTTATGTACCTTTTTAAAACAAAATTCTCACCACCAACTGTTTTAGACATGAAAAAAAATTGCTATAGTAATGCAATGATCATCACTCATCTACTTAGCCCTCAGCTGCTTTTATAAGGCAGGATGTGGAAGAGTCAAGTCCACATATGGTGTGTGTAATCTTTCCAAGAATACAGCCTTGTTTTTGAATATACAAATTGAAACTACTATATATTGTTTAATTATAAATGGGGAAGAAGAGACCCATCCACCAAATGTGTATCAACAAAGCATCATTTCCAATAAAAAGAAAAATAGAACAAGTTTGTCTAAACAAAGTGGATAAACTTGCTACCGGTATTACACAAAGCCATTTTTGCTTCTTTTAATATTCATTCATCACTATCTACTACCTTTTCATTTGCATATCTTATCATTTCATTCTGAATTTCCATCTTTAATAAACATTTTATCAAACATATACTTTCTCAGGGTGGCACAGTGGCTCAGTGGTAAGACACTGAGCTTGTCATCTGGAAGCACCATGGCCTGGATGATTAAGAATCTCCATAGACATCAGCTACAAATGACCACATAAATTCATATCCACAATTAAGCCACAAGCATTCCTTGTTAATTTATCCATGAATACATTAAAATCAAGGGACTTACACATCCTTTCCATTCTCCTTACTCACTTATTGTGCATTCTCTAAGCACTCCATTTTGAGAAAGCCATTCCCATAACGATAAGGACATTAGCAGTTGTTTCCAGAACTTGTCTCTAGGTGCAGCCTCCCCTCTTTCTCAAAAACTTTGCAAGAAAGAAGCTGGCTACCCTGAATTTCCTATATAGAGGTTTCTGTTGAGAGCTAACTTCTCTCAATTGCCCATTTAGAGGTTTAATGGAACTCACTGGAATTCTTGTGTTTTTACTTTATCATTTTTCCTAATAGACTTTGCTGATCTAATCTCAGCAGTCTATGTGAGTTGGGTTAACATTTTCCAGTCCAGTATATACTTCCTGTAAATCAACAACATACTTAAACATTTTTCCTTATATTAATATATTTCCCAGAGTCTTACTGAAATGCAAATATCTGGTTTTCATTCTCTGTCCCTAACATAAAGTCACATATTATTTCTCAAATTTTGTTCAACACTTTTATATACCCTTTAGTCAGAATTCCATGTAAATACTTTCCAACGCTCGCATAACAAATGAATCCCTACTTTAAGCTTTCCCTCATGCTATCTTTCTGTGTATAGAGGAACAATAATGTCATTCTTCCATCCAAAGACACAAATGCAATCTTCATACATATTAGTCACTCAGCAATTCTATAAGCAAAGCACATCCATATTTAATACTTCTCCAGTTATACCATCTACACATTTATCATGTTTCAAAATTGCCACAGCATTCTTAGTGTGAAACATTGAAAGACTGTAACATTTATGGCATCTGTTTCAGTTCCAATCCTTGACATATTATTAGCATTACAATGCAGTTCTCTAGAATACTTGTTCTAGCACTTCTATTTCCTCCCAAATCATTAGATCATTTTTATTTTTAATTCTATTCATTATACTGTAGCTCTCTACATACACTTCCAAAATATTTTTATAATTTTCAGCAAAAAAAATACTGTGCACTTTCTCTTATTATTTTAATTTTAATTGTTCGATGCTGTTATTGAGTGCATTCCTTGCAAATACAGTGGTGCCTTGGTACCTTGAGTCTAGGAGGCATGATGAATACTAAAAACGATGAGTACCAAACAGATTTTTCCCGTAAGGAATAATACAGTGAGTCACAATACAGCCGATACTGACAAATTCTAACTTGTGCATTGAATACCAAACAAATTATGAGAACCAGGACAAATTTTTCACATCAAAAAGCATTGAGTCCCAAATTCGATGAGTTTCAAAGCAACTGAGTACCAAGGTACCACCGTACAATAAAACCTCCTTTTCTACATATTTATTGATTGGCAATGTCTCTACTATCTACAAATGTCCATTAAATATGCAATTACATCATTCTGGCACTTGATATTATTTGCATAATGTCTTTATGTGTATGATAATAAATCATCACAGATATTTAATCCATTTGCCTCCAAAGTTGTTATATCAAGGTCTGCTAAATCAAAATTTCACTCTACATTAGTTAGTAGCTTTTGCAGCCATCATATTATTTGCATATATTCTCTCCTACAGCTTTTTTCACTTCATCATTATACCAATTGTCTTTTTGCATAGCATAATACTTCAGTGGCCTGACATAGCATTTTTACCCTGTTTTTGCTCCAAGCAGCTTTCCTATCCTTTTACCTTATATCCATTAATTCTGTTGGGATATTAAACTGTCATTCAGTATTTTCCTACATTAGAATCAGACTTTTTCTACTGGCAGTTATTTTATTTTTTTTAATCATAGTTTCTTTCACTTTTCTTTTTTTCATTTCCCTTCCCCCGCCCCCCACATATTTCACTCTTAACACTATCAAAAATGGTCAGCTCCATATTCACATTTACCATCTTTGTATCCCTCACAAATTCTCAGTCTGCCCTCATAATTGCATTGGTTATGGTTTTTGTTATGTATACATTCCTTTGCAATATATAAAAATGTTTATATTATTTATGTTTAACAGTGCATTTGAAATGTAGAAGCTCTTTTCTTGCAAGATTGATGTCAGCCTTACCAAGTACAGCAGACAGGAATCACAGGCAGATGTGCTTATTCTACTGCATTAACAGAACCTTGCAAGTCTGAAAGTCCCATTCTCCTGCCATCTCCTTTATTGTTGGAGAAATTAGGGAGGTTCCCTTCTGAGCCTCTTGCCCTGTCCACTATCTTGCTGCCTGCTATGCTGTCCTTGTCTGATCATTCCCTAGGCAGCATGTGCTGCCTTCTTATGTGCTAGATATGATCATCTTTGCCCTTGGTTTTCAAGGGAGTATGGCAATGAAACAAACTGAGCAATAATAAGAGGGGCACTGGCTAAAAAAAATAAAAATAGAGCCAGTCCAATTGAACATCACTTTATCAGGGTTTATCAAGATTGTTCAGTTCCTCGTATCCTACAGATATTTGTCAGGTACTGATGTATCCATGATAGCAAACCAGTAGAAAATTTCTTTTCAAACCACCCCCATTTACATTGAAATTCTTCAGAATAAGCTGTGAGGACCCCTGCCTTTATTATTTTTACCTAGCTTAGGAAGGGAGACCTTTGAGTAGTAGGGTGAAACTATGTGAGAAGCCTGACCCAAACCACTTCACTTCCTCTGTATTGTAATAGCTATACTAGCTGCTGCTCATAGAATTAAGGTTTCCAATGAAATGTTCTCTATAATATTTTTTGTACGCCAAGCAACTTCCAAATTCTTGTCCCATTCATGGAATTCTTCAGAGATTTCAGATAATACTGTCACCTATAGCTCCTTCCCTGTTCACTCCCTGCTGCTTTTTTTTATACAGGGTTCATAATTATGTACTAGGAAGAAAAAAATGGAAAAGCTGCACAGTACCTTTTTATTAATAGCACCAAAATAATTCTGTCGAAAAACTCTATTGTTGCTCCTAGATTTATTTATTCCTTCCCTAAAATTTTATCTATTTATAGATAAAACAAATATATCTTTATATATTTGTTGTTACATATTTTCTACATATTCATCTTTGCTTTAGAAAAAGTGTAGACTGCCATCTAGAGTCTAATAGTGGTAAGGCTGTCCATGTTTTCTGTCCCAAACTCTTGACTTATCATAGAGTTCTAATCATAGAAAGATAGGGCTGGAAGGGACCTTGGAGGTGTTCTAATCCAATCCCCTGTCCAAAGCAGGAGTCCTTATAACCATCTCAGACAAATGGTTGTCCAATCTTTTCTTGAAAACCTACAACTATGGAGCACCCACAACTCTACGAAGCAAGCAGTTCTATTGACCAATTATTCACACTATCAGCATATTCCTCCTTATTTCCACTTTGAATCTCCTTTTGATAAGCTTCATCCATTGCTTCTTATCTTGCCCTCAGGAGTTATGGAGAATAAATCAACACCATCTTCCATATGACAATCTTCCAATTGCTAGCTTGTCTCCCAGAGCCTTTTCTTCATTAAGTTAAACATACCTAGTTCCCTTAGCTGTTCATCATATCATTTAGTCTCCAGACCCTTATCATCTATTTTTCTCTTCTCTGAATCCTTTCTAGGGCTTCAACTTTTTTTTTTGTAAGTGACCAGAATTGTACACAGACTTCTAAACATGGCCTCACTAGTGAAGTATAGAATGGTGCTATCACTTCCCATTATTTTGATAACTATCTCTCTGTTGATGCAGCCTAGAACTGTATTGGCTTTTTTGAGTGATATAGCTTAAATCTTAAAATGAAAAATAGATTTAGGAGAATGTAGTGGTTGACATATGTGAAACACACAACAAGCTTCCCAATGCAATGGGGATTATAGATTATAGGACTATATTATTTCCAGCTAATATGTTACCTTAGTAAGATTATCAGTTCTTTATATTTTCATGTGAAGAATTATTAGCATGGGAAAGACTAAACTCAAAGAGTTATTTGATTCAAATACTAAATCAAAACAAAATTAACAATTGATTTCATGTTCAAATTATTTTCCATCAAACATATATTATATTGCCCATGTGGATACACTGCCATATAGCACATTGACTTGTAAGTTCCATTTCCCCAACCATTGTATTAAGGAGAATATGGACATTTTTATCTTTCAGTATCTTCCAGATGAAGTTTGGATTTTAGGCAAATACCCAAATACAATGTGCAGCTTTGTAATATTATGATCTGGTAAATTTATTAAAGAAAGCTTAAAACCAGGTTGATTTGTTAGTACATTAATATTGCAAGAGAATGTATTTTTATACAAGTCTGAGAACAGCAAATGTATTTTTATTACTGATCGATTAGTTGATCAATCAATCAATCAATCAATCAAGCTATAAACTACTCGTTGAATCTTACTGCCTGAAAAATACAATATAAATAAATACGTATTATTCTAGCATACTGTAAGCCAGGGATGTCAAACTCAATTTCATTTAGGGCCACATCAGTGTTGTGTTTGACCTTGGGGGACTGGGATGGGCGTGGTCATGGTGGACGTGGCCATCTCAACGTAACTCATGTTGGGGGTTCCTGTGGTGGCCTGAGTGCTCTGCCAGCGAAAACGGACTCCTGAGCTACATTTTCGGCTCCAAAGGCCTCCTGCAACCCTCGGCCAACAAAAACGGAGCTTGCGAGGGCCACACACAGTCCTCCCGAGTTCTGTTTTCACTGGCAGACGCATTGCGGGCTGCTCCTCTATTTCCAGGGTGGCCCCGCAGGCCAGATCTAAGGACCCTGTGGGCCAGATCCGGCCCCTGTGCCTTGAGTTTGACACCCCTGCTGTAAACAATACATATTTTTCTAGTGGTACTATTAAAATCCCAGGAGATACAAGAAGAATGTAAATTCTAATTAGATGAATATATTTCCTGTCTCTTTTTTCTACTTTTTTCTTTGTTTTTTAAGCTTTGTAGAAAGTTTTTTCTTCTCTCTCCAGAATACAATCCCTTCCACTGTTTCTCTTCCACAGTCCATCGCCAAACATCCCACCACATCCATCACCCCCTGTCAACTCACCTGCCTCCGCCCCCCAAGACCCAAAAGAGACGTCTCCATTCTAATAGGAAAAAGAAAAAAAAGAAAAAGGCAAGGAAAATGTCTATGCCTCCCTCCAATGTCACCCCAACCATCCAGGAGGAAGAAGAGGAGGAGGAGGAGGAAGAAGAAGAAGAAGCAGAATCTGAGGGGGAAGAGGTTCTGGAGAAGGAAATCTCAGCAGAGTCTGACGTTGAATCCTCTCCCAAAGAGAGGTCTTTGAGCACTTTAACAGCAGGATTGACTGAAAGGAGTGTTGAGGTGAGAGACTTCAAATCCACACTGCAAGAGGAGTTTTGGGCTTGTACAAGATCACGTATTGTGTGTTTGGTATGTGTGTGTGCCATTTGTCAAAGGTTGGGGTCTCTATAGCACAATGTCCCAAAGATGCTTTTCAAAAGGCAAATGGCCTTTCTTGGTTTTTTTCTTGAAAATGTTCTAAAGAAGCTCCTTGGATGAGAAGCAAAATACTGTCAAAGAAAAAACCCAAGAATGTCTAATTGCCTTTTGAGAAAAGCACCTTTGGGACATTGTGCTACGAGACCTTTTAAACAACCATGACCTGAATGATTGAGAATCTCCATAGACATCTATAGCACAATGTCAGTATGAAACTGTTGACTGATAAAAAGCAGAAAAAAACGGGTTTGTGTTCGGTTTCCCCCCTGGTGTTAAAAGTTCATTGCCCCTTATTTTTTCTCAGTTTTAACCAACCAAGCCAATAGCAACATTACTTTTCTAGATGTTGTGTCATTTTGACCCTTTGCGCTGCTTTTTTCAGTTTACCATTGGACCCGAGGAGCCTGAGGAAGAAGAGGAGGAAGCTCATGGCACCCAATGCACTTTGTCATTTCATATGGCTGAGGAACACAGTCATCTTTCCCCAATCCCATGTTTCTCCAGCCTGCTGCCTGAGAAAGGCCCTACTTTTTCTAATAGGTAAGAGGGGATGATATTTTTCATGTTTTGGAATTTACATAGGTTGGAGACATTCAGGACAAAGTAGCAAGTTGCCTTTCCAATTCAGGTTCAGGAGTTCACTTTGGGAGTATAAATGGGATAAACTTAATTTCAAACAGAGCTCATCCAGATTTAATTATAATATGTATCTTCCATTCTAGAATGTGAAAAGAAGAATGCATATTTTTTCATTACTAAGGAAATAGTGTAATGTAGGCAGCTAGAACAGTGTGAACTTCTTTTCCTCCTCCCACCAGGATGATGGAAAGAAAGCCAAAAGAAGGAAAATGCCATCTTCCTTCCATTAATTTGAAAAATGCAAAGGCACCTTTGCATCACTACCTGATGTCTTAGTAGTTCATCTGCAAAAGTCCCTACGTTCCAAGGCATGTTATCAGATCCAGCTCTCCATGACATAAACAAATACTAATATATTTGTTTAAAATAGTATTTAGAGTATATTAACACACATAGCTTATAATCACGTATTGCAAGTACCGGTATTAATCTTCAAAAAAAAAAAAGAATTAGGATTCCAAAATAACAGATGTAAATAAAGGAACAATGGGTAGGCCCATCCAAAAGAAAACGAACTAGTTTTCAGGGGAAAACTAGGCCACTTGCTTTGAGCACATGCAAAATAAAATCAATCCTAATATAAGTCTGATTACTTCTACCTCTAGCAGCATAGGTTATGTTATATTGTTTCTGGGGTCCTGGAAGATGCAGTTGTACAAACTGAAATATGTTTAAATTTCATCCTTTCCTTTGCCAATAGTTAGTTGCTTCTCCTGGGGAGATTATAAAACAAGCCTCCAGCAAACTCTTCCATGGGTACCGTATTTGACCTCAAGGAAACTTGTGTTTTTCTCAGGGATTTAGCCACTTAGCTCTTTAGGCTTTCTTATTATCGGTAGAAGAGATTAGTTTAAGGTAACTTATGTGTAGAGAGCCAGTTTGGTGTAATGGTTAAGACATTAGACTAGAAACAAGGAAATAATGAGTTATAGTCCAACCTTAGGCACAAAACTAGCTGGGTGTCATGGGCCAGTCATTGTCTCTCAGCCTAGGAAGCAAGCAATGGCAAACCACTTCTGAAATCTTGCCAAGGGAACTGCAGGGATTTGTCCAGGTAGTCATCAGTTGTGTATTGATTCTAAGGCAAAAAAAAAAAAAGTACATGCATTCTGAGGTAGGAAAAATCTCTAGAAGCTTGCATTGCTAGAGATGCCCTTTACATATATACTCAAGGAGTCTTTGGTTCAAATATTTACTTGCAAACTTAAACACTGAGGAATATAGGTAGTCCTTGTATTACAATAGAATTGGGACTGGAATTTCCAGTCAAAAAAGAATGACATCATGCAACTACATCAGGGATGCTATTCAGCAGGTTCTGACAGGTTCTAGAGAACCGGTAGCGGAAATTTTGAGTAGTTCAGAGAACTGGCAAATACCACCTCTGGCTGGCCCCAGAGTGGGATGGGAATGGAGATTTTGCTATATCCTTCCCCCAGGAGTGGGGAGGGAATGGGGATTTTGCAGTATCCTTCCCCTGGAGTGGGGTGGGAATGGAAAGTTTGCAGTATCCTTCCCCTGCTATGCCCACCAAGCTACACCCACCAAGCCACACCATGCCCACAGAACCAGTAGTAAAAAAAATTGAATTTCACCACTGAACTACATCCTTTAGCAATGACAATCCTGGCAATACAGGTGGTTGTCAGAACCCCAGGATTATATGAGTCATTAAGTGGGAAGAAGCAAGAAGGCCAGCGGGTAACAGCTGTGGGTGAGAACTACAGAACTTGCAACCTATTGCTGGTTTCCTCATTGACTTTGTTTGTGGGAAGCTGGCAGGGATAATTGGAAATCATGATTATGTGATCGTGGCTCACTCAGATGTCATAATCATGAGCAGGACACCAAACACCTGGATCGCGATCACATAGCTATGGGGACACAGCAGCAACCAGAACTTCTAGGACTGATCATTAAATACATGGTGGTAGCCTATCTGTACGATTTCTAGAAGACGTCATTAAAGATGTCACAGTCATCAAAGCTGTCATAACAAGATCTATCAACTGAAGAAGGAGCTTTTGAAGATTCATCTTTTCAGTTAGGAAATATTGTACTTCAGATAAAACCATTAAGAAACCTGCCAAGTTGTCCCTTAGTTGAGGAATTCTCTAGGACAGAGCTAAATTATTCACAACCTAAGATTTTTTCTCAACCAGTGGTGGGTTGTCCCCAGTTCAGACTGGTTCTATAGAACTGGTAGTAAAACCGGCGGGAGGCTCCGCCCACTGACCCTGATGTCATCAGAAGCGATCTGCACATGTGCAGAACATGCAATCCCGTTGTGAATCGGTAGTAAAGGTAAGTAGAACCCACCCCTGTCCTCAACCTTATTTCAAACACCCTCTGCAGACATTTAGTTTACACCTATGGACTGAACTAATTTATTGTTTTCCTCGCAGTCTGCTACTTCAGAAAGAGAAAAAAAGAGGGTGTTGAAAAGAGAAAGTGGGCAGGGAAGAGAAAAGGGTTATCAGAAAGAGAAAGTGGATTGGCCCACCCAATTTGGTTTCTGGCACTACTTACCACCTGCTTTATTTCAAGTGGAATTGGCATGCTGCCTTCCAAATGCATCTTGAGAGAATGCAGGTTAAAAGAAAACCCAAAGCAAATCTTTAATCTTGTTCAAATATCTGAACTCTGGAATTACCTTCTGTCTTCTAGGAATAAGTTCTCACTTTCAGTTATTATTTCTCTGCCATCATTGTTCTCTTTCTTGCCTCCACAGCTTTCCTGAATACAGAGATAATGTATCTCGGGGCTGGGATAAGCGCAAACCATGGAGTCAGGTGCCAAGTGGACAGCGGTCAAACTATGACCTGAAGGAGAGGGTGTGCATTGGCAGCATGACTGCAATAGAGAATGCCACATATCAACGAATCCCCACTGATGAAGCTGAAGCTCAGATGTTGGCTTCTGCTGACCTTGATGATATGAAAAGTGAGATTCAACTTTGACCCTTGATTCTGTCCCTAGTAATGATGATGGCAGCAGCTCCTGTATGCTGAGAGTGTAGCACTGGGTGAATAGGGGAGGCCCATAAAAACATCAGTATAACTATTCTTCTACGTTAAAAATAAGTAACTGGATTGTGTAATAATTTTAATAATAAGGACAGAATGATGTATGTAGCTGTTTAATTCTCAAGATATTCATTTGATATACTTTGGTATATTTGTAGTCTGAAAGAGATTGTGATTTTGGGTCTAACAACATATAATACCTATTATATTAATGGCCATAGAACATATATAATTCTGGTTTGTTTTTGTTCGTTCTTGTTTTTGTTCGTTCTTATTTTATTCGTTCCAAATCCTATTCATCTTATTCATAAATATCCTTCTAGATTCAGGATATTTGATATTTAACTTCTAAGTAAATATACATAGGAAAGTAGATACAGAATAATTGTTATTTAGTTTCTCTTTCTATATAAGTTATGACTTTGTAAAGTTCTACTTGTGTTTTCTTTGATCTTTTTTTTTATTAAGATAAAAAAATATCTAAGCAGTTCCTTAGATTCTAGCATTTACTTTGCTCTCTGAAGTTAATTTATATAATTCAGACTTGCATGTATTTCAGTGAAAACATTCGCCCCAAATATAGTAAGCAATACATTTCTTTCAAATACTATGCTTTCAGTTCCAAGAAATAATGTCATTTTAGTACTAGGCTAGCTATAATGTTCAGGAGTCTATAATGAGATGTCGATACATGATTTTAACTCATAGCATATTTTGACCTGTGAGGCTTTCAGTAGTTATGCCTAAAAACTGCTTTTTAGGAATATACAGGAGATTTTTCTTGTTATGTTAGCAATTTCATATGTGATGAGGTAGTTATAGAGGTAGATAGGGAGAGAGATAGGAAAAGGAAGGAAGGAAGGAAGGAAGGAAGGAAGGAAGGAAGGAAGGAAGGAAGGGAGGGACAGCAAGACCGGTGAAATATAATGACAAATTTATTTAATCCTCACTGAGGATCTTCCAAAATGTTATAAATCCTACAAGATGTGATAAATCATTCTACTTAAAGATGATTCTCTAGGCCTTTCTTTACTCAACAGAAAATCCTCAAATACATTGCTTTCCAAATTTGACCAGACAATCTGCAATCCAATATAGTCTTCTGTTACCTTAGAGCTCAGTTTTATTCTCTATATCCTGTGCTACTACTCATCCATAGTTTATTGGATGGTATTCAATTCTCATATGCTAAGGCTAACCTAGTATCTTCCTTGCTGAACCATTAGGATTTTGCTTTCTCCTTCTTAACCTAAAATTATCTTCACCATTTTACTCTCAGAGAATTACGTTGTTCAATTTCTGGTGGGAGTAACCAGGGCCGGATTTTCCTATAGGCTAACTAGGCTTCAGCCTAGGGCCTCAAGATCGAGAGGGGCCTATATTCAAATTGTTAGCAAAATTAAAATTACACTTTCACTATAGGTGAAAGGGCCTCATAAGTGGAATAGCCTAGGGCCTCTTTTCATCTAAATCCGGCCCTGGGAGTAACCAAATTTGAGTAGGAATCTGTATTAAATGCAGGATCTATCATTATCTCAAATCCTACAAAGTTTCAGAGTGTCTGGAACTGAGATTACATCTATTTACTGCTATGTTCTACATTTTCCTTCCCCCTCCCCGAAAACTGAGCTCTCTCATTCTCTCAATGCAAAAACATAGAATGGACGTCATGGAAATGCAGTTTTGAGCCTCAGGATATAAAGATGTCAATAGGCTAGTTTCCAAGCTTCAGTAGATAGAGATAACTAAAAGCATGTGAAGGGGCACAGTAGGCTGTGCCACAAAGGAAAAACAGCACAACAACACATCATATATTGGATTTCCTACAGAATTTCCTTGCTGGCTTTGGCACTATGCAAGGATATATTCCCACTTGGATTCTAAACAAGCAGTCACAATTTTGGTGCTAACTGTTTCACTAGATGGTCAATAGTAACATTCTTAATCAAATACTATCCAAAAATTCCTGGGCATTGGATATTGTGCTATCTGAAAAATTTCAGAGAAGAGGAACTCATCTCCTACCTAAATCCTACTCTTTGCGACGTACTCAAGACTTTTAATCTTCCAACGAACATAGTAATGGCCATTCCAAACGGAAAGGAGATAATAAAGGACATTGGAATAGGAGACAGACCAGAAATAGAGATAGCTGTCTGTGCCTATAATTCCTTAGATTATGATGACTTTGAGGAGTTTGCTCTCAACTTTGAAGACTATGATTTATGGGAGGCTATACAGAACCACTTGGGTTGTCCTGGTCTGGAGCCAATTTGTAAGTACTGCAGTTGTGCTAGGATTCACATGTTCAGGTTTTATGTATGTGCATCCTTCCACGCATTTACTTTCAACTTCATTAAGACTTTTTTCCCCATTAATCAGATTTTAAATATAACAAACTTCATTTATTTTAAATATATTTTATCACTATATGCAATATATCTTATCACCATCTGGCAATTTCAAATATATTATATTTCAAAATTCTTTTTTCTGTTACTTTATTTAAGGGAAAAGTAATTTTGTCCACCTTTGGTTTTAATTATTCTTTGCCCATTTAAAATTAATTTTTATTTGTTTAACTTTATCCTATCCGAAAAGTTTATTTCTCTATTGTTCTGGAGGCTACTTGTTCAAATATTTTGGAAATGTGAAGCTGAAGGCATTTAACTACAGCTTATATTTTCTCACTCATGTCTCAGACATGCACATCCATGAACAAATTAGCAACTATTTCTCAGTTTGATGCCTATAATTTGTTTTCCCATCAACATCCACCATCCACTCATCTACCCACTCCACACACAGATATTATACATTATGTGATGTGACATGCTTTTCTTATTGAAGTTAGATGAACTCATTCATAAACATACATTCATATGTTGAAAGGCCATCAGAAATTGCTATTACCAGCATTGGGCATGTTTACTAGTTAAATATGCTGAGAATGGGAATGGAGATTACTTAGATTTGTAAAAAACAAACAAACAAACTATCTTCCTTAGGGCTAAAATATTTCATTTTGATCTTCATTAATATATACAACAAAGTACATGAGGAATGTTATACACAGTCCACAGAATTCTAGTTAATCTGGAGCAGGATTTAATTCAATGTCTCAAAAGCAACTATTAGCCCAACTGAAAAACATGAACAATATACAACAATCTGCATTTTTCCTGTTAAAAATCAGTTATAACTATGTCTTTTAATCATGTGCAGCAAAAAAAATGGGAAAATGGGAAAGAAAATGAGAAACTGGGGTTTAACTTTCAACAATCTCAAATTGGTGGATCAGTAGGCGGCAAGCCATCTGGGATTTCTAATGTCTCAAGGAGAAAGAATTGTCTTTGGTCTGTACCACTGATTTAATTTACCTTTCTCAGTAGTTGTTATTCTCATTTTATGCTGGAGGTAACAACTCTTCTACACTGTATTACAGCATTTATAGCCAGTGCTTATGTACTCAAAGGTTGCTTTTGCCATTATGAAACACATTAATTTTTGTTTGTACCAAACAAAAAAAATAGCCATTGTAAACTGCCTTTGGCAGCTTATATTCATAAATGGAAAGGGTGCAAAAAAGAACGGATCTAAAATTACTTAGTTATATAGATACTTATATGATCTAATGAGCCTTATATTTAAAAGGCAATCCACTAATCAATTTATACGACTCTGGCTCTTCAAAGATTTTTCTCCGTTTCCCTGTAAGTAATGTTAAATAGAGAAATTACATTGGATTAACTATCAGTAGTGGTCAAAGTGTACGCTGTGAGGAGAACTATTGCGTTGTTATGTAATGTAACATAATTAAGAGTGTTGCACTAGGATAACAGAAACCAAAAGAGGGATAAAGTAGAAAATTGATGAATATAATAAAGTGCATGTAGTACAGTGAGTTCCTTTTATACTGTGAATAACTTGAGGGTACACCCTCCAGGTGTCTGCTTTATTAGAGATTTCTTATTTAAAGAACCAGAGGTCCATCTGAGAAATAACTTGCCCAAAGGGCCCATTCATATCTGTGTTACAAAAAGTTCTTATTTACCCAGATGTTTTTATGGCATGTTTTACAATTTTACAGAATGTTTATCTATGCTTTAATATTACTGATTTAAGATATAACTGATTATATGCCTTAACAATCTTATTATGGTTTCCCTTATTATTTTCCTCAGTCCCATAGATGAGGCTCCAAGATAATGCTTGATAAAATAATGCTTCAGCTTTAGATTTTCCTGTTGTCTTTGTAGCACCCAACAAAATAGCAGGGGAATAGAGGTTCTGCTATGCTTCATGGCAATTCTTATACATAGCACTTTTTAAATAGAGTTTTGCCAAACACTTGTAAGTGCGCCTGTTTGCATTGGAAAATATTTTTTAAAATGAGCTTTTGCTGGATTCCTGTATTGCATTATCAATTTCTTTAAATGCAAATCAAATGCTCATCATAATGTTTTGCATATGGAAAATCTCCAAATTCAGCTCTCAACAAAGTTAGTCTGGGTGGGAAGATTCTACTGAGAGTATTGCTAATCAGTGTAGAAGGTAATGTGTAAAATGAACTGATGGATTTCTCAGATTTAGTTCTGGGGAAAAAGGGTATTTTGTGATTCATAAAAACAAAATAAATAAGATATATTTGTATATTTTTATAATTTATTCTGCATTTGATTGTTACTCTGTTCTAATGTTACAAAACATGTTTCTTCTGAGTTTTCATCATGCATTACAAAAGCTACATATTTGTATATGTATGCATTCCTAGGAAATGTGGCATTTAAAATGGAAACTACATTTCATGAATCCTGAGTTCTGTAGTAATTAACAAAGGTCTCTGTTTCTATGGAGCACTTATGACATTCATGTAACTCTGTTATAGAAGGACATTTCTGTTATATGTACCCATGGCCTATCCTACCTTTATTCCAGGCCATCGTTTTGAAGATAATCCAGGAGTAAGAAGACATTTGGTTAAGAAGCCATCCCGGAGCCAAATCAACAGGTCCAGCAAAACATCTTTGTCCTCACAGTCTTTCAAGAAAAAGAAGAAAAAGAAGAAGCTTGACCGAAAACCCCATGAGGTACCATAATGGTCTTTCCTTTTGAATCTCACAATGTATGGTGCCAGCACCTTTATGCATTGTTCAGTTTATTGCTTACTGGTAAATGGCTTTCCATAAGAACAGGGACAATAGAGATGATAAGATTGGATTATAGGAATTATAGGAATTAGCGTAAGCCTAGTAACCAAGGTTATTGCTTAGGATATAGATAGATAGTCCCAGTCTAATTTTTGCTATCTGATTCTCCAGTAATAAAATAAGATCATGTTCAGGGAAGAAAAATGGCCTGGAAGGGAAAATTACAGTTATAACTTGGAAATGTACAACTGGCGTCCAAGAGCCAAGTATGACTCCTGAAAGTATCCTTCAGAGTAATCTGAAAATTACAATATTTCATGTGAAATAAGAGAGAATCATTAAATGGATAACTAGAGAATTATAATACACTATCAGCTTTACTTAATTTTAATTAGCAATAGATATAACTGTTATAGAATCAAATTTAGTTTTTTATTCTAGCCTCATCCTCTAATTTTTGGAATGCAACTCTCCAACACACTATTGGAAGAGATTATATATCCCAGTTACAGACTATTTAGGATGTGAATCTAGGCTACTTTCTCTTACATTATGCATATTCTAAGTACATATTTTTTATTTATTTATGTATTTAATACATTTATATGGCCGCCCATCTCATACATAATTCTGGGGGGCTAACAATTAAAACAAAGTAAAAACACAACCAATAATTATAAATAAATGCTATAAAATAGCAAAAAAGAACAATGACAACATCCCACAGTCAATATAGTCAAGAAACTGGCTCACCCAAACCATCAGGGCCCTAGACTTGACAAGGGAGCCAAGTTTTAATGTCTTGGGAATGGCCAGAAGAATCAGGGCAAGCCTATTCTTGGGAGGAAGATGTTCCAAATGACAAGTGCCATGGCAGGAAAGATCCTCTTCCTGGGTCCTGCCAGGATAGCACTATCTTGTGGTTAGGACCTGGAGATACCTCTCCTGCTAGATCTAATAGGATGGGTAGACTCCACTGGGGACAGTAGCTCCTATAATTAACCTAGCTCCAAACTATGAAAGCTTTAAAGCTACTTGTTAGAACCTTGAATTGCATCCAAAAGCCTCCGAGGAGTCAGTGCAGCTTGCACAGCAGAGATGTCACATGGACTGAAGGACAAATACCCATAAATGCCCATGTTGGCACATTTTAAGGCATTTGAAAATACTCTGCAAAGATAGCCTGGCCCCATAGAGAGTGCATTGCAATTATCCAATCAGTAGGTGACTAAGACCTGAGTGGGTAAATTGGCAAGAGGACATAGGCAATGGCCCTCATTTCCTCTTGAACTTTGGGTGCTGTTAAAAGTGCATACTTTGGATGCTGTTAAGCTTATGTCATCTACAGAATCTCTGGTACTATCAGGGCAGAGCTAAAGGACACTATCTCTTCCTTGCAGCAATCTTATAATAGGGCAATTAGGGATGCCATTCTTATAAACTTATAAAGTTTATTTATTCTTATAAATTCTTATAAAGGGTAATGGACTGGAATTTAATTATCTTGATTTTTCTTAGGTTTTTGTGGAGCTGAATGAATTAGTAGTGGACAAAAACCAGGACATGCACTGGAAGGAGACAGCACGCTGGATCAAATTTGAGGAGGATGTGGAAGAGGATACGGCACGCTGGGGAAAGCCTCATGTTGCCTCACTTTCTTTTCGCAGCCTTTTGGAGCTCAGGAAGACTATTGCCCATGGTGAGTAATCCTGATGAAGTTAGGCTTTGGCTGGAAACATGTATTGACATCCCAGCTGCCTTGTGACTTAAAGGAAGACACTTTTTTTTTAAGCTGGAGGAAGAATTTTTAGGATTGAAATAAACTTATTCATCAAAAAGAGAAAATGATCAATGATTGTAGTCATTATCAATTTAGTCCTGTAGCAGAACATAACATAAAGTATAAAACTAGATCAAGAAAAGGACACCAGATCATTAAATATATTAATGATACATTAAACCATGAAATATTGCCTTTGCTTTTATTTATCTTTTTTACAAGACGTATACATTTGTATGAATGGACAATGCTTCTCAAAGCTTTTACCTGTCTATTTTGCAGATATGCTGCTAACATAGTAAGAATCTGATATTTTTTTGCTTAAAGAAAAAAAAAATAGAAGTAAGAATAGAAGGAGACAATCTGCTTGAGAAAATTTTTGACTGTGAAAAATTGAAAAATGTGCCCCCTTTCATTATTATCTCAGGAGCTGTTTTGTTGGACCTGGAACAAACAACATTACCAGGCATTGCTCATCTGGTGGTTGAAACAATGATAATCTCAGATCAGATCAAGGCTGAAGACAGAGCCAATGTCCTGAGGGCCCTACTGCTCAAGCATAGGTAGGTGGTGTAGAGTGGTGAACCTAGAAACACAGTTAATTGGAATTGTGGATAAAAGTATAATACTGTAGAAGAGGAAGAACTAATAAAGTCTGAGTAACTATGACACAGTACAAAAAATTATATCCTAAAGATTAAGCAAGGTCCTAGGGATGATAAGAGGCAGTTGAAGAGAACAAGATAACTTTTTGGCAAGAAGAAAGAAAGGATGTACGAATATACTGGCTAGCCTGGAACAGGAAAAACATCACATATATGAAATTAGGGTTGCCAGGTGTCCACTATTTGAGCGGACAGTCCGCTTTTTTCACATTATGTTCACTATTTTTTTTCACAAAATAGTGGACATTTTTTTTATTCAAAAGCTTTATGATGAAATGGTATGTAATCTAAAGCTGTACAGTCTAAGAGAATAAGGATAGGAGAATCGCGTTTTGTCTTTTTTTTCATAAGTTAGAATGAGACAAAAATCGAATATCCATTGAACTCGATTCTCCGAAAAAATTAATGATGAGATTAAAATAAAAATATATTATAAAATTATGTACAGTTCACATTTTTAAAATGTATTGTAGCTTGTGTCGACTGACCTAAAATGGTGTGTTAAAATGTTTGTAAGAAAATATATAATTTAATTGTAAATTTTTTTAAAAAAATTTTACTACTTAACACCCCCCCCCCCCCGCTTGTCCGCTTTTTTGGAAGCAGACCTGGCAACCCTATATGAAATTCCAGCAAATTGAGGCTTCCGGTTTCCTCGTCTTCGGCGGCGGCGGTGCCTTTTGAAGCTCCGCCAGCCCCGCCGCTTGTAGAGCCGCTTCGCGACTAAGAAGCGGCTCGAAAACTTCAAAATCCTTAGGATTTTTGAAGAGAGATCGCAGGGCACAGGTTGAGCCCCTGCAACCCCCCCAGGGAATAGGGGAGGGAACAGGAGTGGCTCCCGTTCAACCTGCTGGAACTCCGGGCGGCGTGGAACAAGTCTGCTTTTGCAGAACAAGCCGGCTACAGGAAACTTCAAACTGAAAGGAAAGGAACCAGCCTTAATAAGCAGCATATTTTTACTTGAACCCTGAAACTCGGAATCGCAAGTATTAGAGTTTTATTGGCTTTCTAATCTGAGTGAATAAATGAGGATGAGTGAAAGTGAACTGTAAAAACATGGCGCTTAGCCTCAGAGTTAACGAGCTGGCGAGTGTGGATTGCTGAACTCATCTTGCTTTGTCACAAAGTTTCTAAACTGTTACGAAGTTGCTTCGCTTGTAACAAGAGAAATAAGAGAGAAATTTCTCCTTTTTCAATACTGGACTTTGCTTTACTTTAGTTTTTATTTGAATAAATCTGGGGGACTTTTTCAGAAGTCTTTGTGGAGGTGGGAGAGGAAGAAGAACTTCCCTTTTTAGTAAAACTAGCCTACGTGGCAGGATGGCCTCAAAGAAGCAGGAAGCGAAGGCAACAGGAGGTGGATCTCCCACACATAAAACACAGCCTCCCCCTGAACAACAGACACAGACTCAGAAAAAAGATTTTGACGTGGGAGATTTAAAAGAATTTATTTCTAAAATTTTGGATGATAAATTTCAAAAATCTCAACAGGAGATAGATGATAAACTTCAAAAGTCACACCAGGAATTTATGCAGGAAATTAATGAAGTTAAAGATATGGTGAAACAGAATCAAAACAAGGTGACCAAAAAAATATCAGAAGTGGCGTCTGGCCTGGCAGAATTTATTATTAAAGTTGATTCTAAAGTTGAAGAATTTAAATCAGAAGTTAATGTTAAGATGAAAGACAATGATTATAAAATTGCTGATGTTGACAATAAAATGCAGAGAGTTGAAAACGAAATCGTGATGGTACAATTCAGGGCAATGGAGTTTGCAATACGGCTTCGAGGAATTCGAGAAGAGGATAGACAGGATTTGAGACAGGTTTGTTCTGAGGCTCTGGCCAAGATTTTACAAGTTAATCCTGATGTGGTTTTTCACAAAATAGATAAAATTTACAGAGTGAATTCTTGGGTGGCCAGACAAAGACAATTGCCCAGAGATGTGGTCATATATTTTACAGACAGAGAAATAAGAAATGACATCCTGCAAAAATCCTTTTACACCTCTGTGCAAGTGGGGGGCTCACGAATTGGAATTTATAAAGAATTACCTCCTAAAATGTTGAAAACCAGAAAAGAATTTGGCTTTCTTGTTAAAGAATTGCAAAATCAACAGATACCATTTCGGTGGGACGCCCCAGTTGGTATAATTTTGAGATACAAGGGAGAAAGATATCGTTTGAACACCGTGGAGAAGGCAGAGCACTTCTACACTACTACTCTTAAGGAAAGAACACCATCCCCACGTACATCTACAGTTTTGGAGATTAAGGAGAGTGATGAGAAGCAACCTCAACGAGAATTGCAAGAACAGTCTAAGCAGGAACCAGAGGAAATGCAAGGCGCAGAAGGAGGTTTTCTGGATGAGCCTTTGCTGGAATCTTCTCCAATCTTGGACCCGGTTCGGATGATCGAAGTTAAGGATCAACGTATAACTCGAGCTCAATCTAAATTACTTAAACAAAAGCAACAACAACAACAGGAAAGACAAGACAAGAAGGGAGCTAAGACTACTATACAAGAGACTGGAGCCATGGGGGGAGCGACTCTGAAGATTTTGGAGGATATTCGGTTATTCTGCTCTTTGCTCCAGAAAGATGGAGATGACGCTTAAGTGTTTATCTTGGAATGTGAATGGGTTGAATTCAACACAGAAAAGGAAGAAATTATTTACATATTTGAAACAATTTAATAATGATATAATTTGTCTACAAGAAACGCATATTACAGTTCAAGATCAAAAATACTTGATAAACTCCAAACTAGGAATACATTTTATATCTTCAACGTTGCAAAAAAAGAATGGTGTGGTTATCTATGTAAATAAGAAATTTACGGCTAAAGTTATAGAAACAGATGAAGATGGTAGGTTTGTAGCAATTGAATTACTTACAACATATGGCCAAATTTCTTTTGATAGGAATTTATGCTCCCAACCAACAACAGGATTATTTCTATAAAATGTTACATACTAAAATACTACAATGGGACTATAGATCTATTTTAATCATGGGAGACTGGAATGGAGTAATAGACTCTAAATTAGACAAAAGGAGTTCAGCGAAATCTAGGATTAGGTTACCTCAGACCTTTTTTGATATGAAAGAAGATTTGGAACTAAAAGATATTTGGAGAATACATAACCCAAAAGAACTGGACTATACTTTTTTTTCAGATAGACATAGATCCTTCTCTAGGATTGATTTCTTTTTTTTTTTTTTATTAATAATAAAAAGAAAAAAACAAAACCAACATAGATACATTGAAACAACATACAAAATGAACACACATCAATTCAGTCCAATGACTGATTCTTAGAAGATATTACAACGGTGGGTTATTTTTCATATTTCTATTTGTATCAATATTTACAGTCACCTAATTACTTAGTTATATATGTACATATATAATTGACTCCTTATTTACTTCTATGCATTTCTATTGAGTACTCGAAAATCATCTTTATATTCCTATTTTTGCCTCCAGCCAGTTGTACCATCTTTGCCATATTAAATAGTAATCAGTATCATCTTTCTCTTGTATTTCTTTTGTGAGCTTATCCAATTCTGCACATTCTGTAATTTTAGCTATTATTTTGTCTTCTGTGGGTAACTGTTCAGATTTCCAATGTTGGGCAAAGAGTATACGTGCTGCTGTGAGGATATGGATGATCAAATATTTTATTTCTTTGGTATATTGTGTTGTGATTATTCCCAATAAAAAGGTTTCCGGCCTCATTTCCAGTTTTTGTTTCGTGATTTCTTCAATCATTGTTTTAATTTGTTGCCAGTATTGTTTTGCCCTTCGGCATAGCCACCAGAGATGATAATATGTCCCTTTCTGTGATTTACATTTCCAGCACATCGGAGATGTATTTGGGAACATCTTGGCTAGGCGCGCCGGTGGGAGGTGCCATCGGTAGAACATTTTGTAAAGGTTTTCCTTATAGGGTATAGACAATGTCATCTTGTAATTTATCTTCCACAGATTCTCCCACTTATCCAATTCAATAGTATGTCCTATATTTTTGGCCCATATTATCATATTCTCTTTGACAACTTCCTCTTCTAATTTGTATTTTAATAGGTACCTATAAATTTTGGTAATCATTTTCTCATCTGTACTTTGTAATATTTTATCCAATTCATTTGGTTCATTTTGAAATCCGAATTGTGCCCGATCAGTTTTATATCTTGATTCTATTTGCATGTATGGCCACCAATCAATGTCTATACCCTGATTTTGTAATTCTTGTCTTGTTTGTAATTCTCCTTCACTGTTCAGTAATTCTTTGTAAGTCCTCATTTTCTCTATATCCATGGCGTTGGGATATATTAGTGCTTCCATTGTCGATAGCCATCGTGGGATCTTAGTATAATGTTTCCTAATCTCTTGCCATGATTTGTACAATGATTCTCTGATAATGTGTTGCTGAAAGTATCTATGATGCTTGTCCTTTCCCTCCCACAGAAAGGCGTGCCACCCGCGTTCAAAGCCCTCTAGTGATAGCATTCTTTTATTCTTAAGGTCTATCCAGTCCCTTATCCAGTTCAACGACGCTGCTTTATAGTATAACTCCCAGTCCGGTAGGCCTAAACCTCCTTTTTCCCGAATATCTTGCATACATTTTATTTTGATTCTAGCCCTTTTCCCATTCCAAATAAATTTTGTTATTATTTTATTAAGGTCCTTAAAAAAGTTCTTTCCTGGCCAGATTGGGGTTACTTGAAAGAGGTAGAGTAATCTAGGGAGTATATTCATTTTTATGGATGCAATTTTCCCTAGGAATGACAGTTGTAATTTGTTCCACATTTCCAGGTCTTTTCTAATTTGTTTCATTAATTTATTATAATTGTCTTCTCTAATTGTTATTGCTTTAGCAGTAAGCCAGAT